TAATGTACCCTTTTCCTACTCGTTTTCTTTGTTTTCTTTCCCTTTTGATATTTTCTCTTCAACGTACGGTCTTAAATCAAAAGACCTCCTATTATAATAAGTAGGAGCATATTCCTAAGTAGATTGCAGCTTAGAGGCCAACTCTGAAAGTGCAGATGGCAGGATGCGCAACTGCAGGAGACAGTAATGAAGGTTGGTGGTAAGAGTGAGATAAGACGTTTCGATCCTAACATCACCAACAATGGGACCGCACATCGATGGCCCGGGAGGTCTTGATGTCTTGGTAATCTTACTGTACGTTTGTGTGATGCTAATGAAGGTTGGTGGTAAGAGTGAGATAAGACGTTTCGATCTTAACATCACCAACAGTGGGACCGCATATCGATGGCCCGGGAGGTTTTGATGCCTTGGTAATTTTACTGTACACCTATGTGATGCATCCGAAAAATTCAAAGCAATGTATGATCTATGAAAACTACTCTTAGACTTATTTCCTGACGAGGTTCCTAACGAATTCTAACAGCAAATTGAACAATTTGGCTTCCTTGTTGTGGGAATAAACAACGGTAGGTGACCCTGGGTTGATGTAATCTTTGCTGTTGACCGGCAGAGGGAGCTTGATTACGCAGCACAGTAAAATTCGGGCCTATCTGGAACTTGTAATCAAAATTTTGGAAAAAAAACAACACTTACTTTTATCACGATAATAATTTTGATCACGCCGATGATCTTTGTACGAGGAATATGGCTCATATCGACCGCTTGGCCGATCGTAGTAACTGCTACGGTTGTAACTGCTACGATATGAACTGCCACTGTAATCACCACGAGAATAATGACGATGATGTTCTTGCGACTGTGGCTGCTGCTGCTGTTGATGATGATGACGCTGATGATGGTGATAAGAATCATGAGAACCACTTTCACCGTAATCCGTATGCGAACTGGATGGTTGTTGCCATGTAGGTGGTGGCGGCTTGTAGGTATCAAATTCATCGTTCACTGGCATACTTGATGAACTTCTGAATTGATTTCATCAAAAAAGGCTGTAGCAGCATGCTGAGAAATGTTATGGCACCCATGTAACCCTACAACTCAGTTTCCCTCCTCTCACTAATCCTTAATTCTTCGATTTACTTCCCTCCACCCACTAATTTCTAACAATTCCACCAAATTCTAAATAATTCCATATTACCTATTTTCTCATTCACTAACTAACTTGCCCTCCTTTTCCTTCTATTAATTTTTCCTATAAAAACCCCTTCCTAAAACCCAGGCCCTTAGTTTTGGAAATCAACACGATCAACACGCGCCATTCGTTCGCTACGTCCTTTTAATACTAACGCTACTAGCGCCTCGCTTCAACATCACCAGCGTCCTTCTTCTGCTGAACAGCTTGTACGCCGCTCCGCCTCGCTGATTTACGCGTCGTTCTACTCGTTGTTTTATTTCAAGCGAAGCTCTTATTGGAAGAATAAAGTGCTGGTATTCCCTGTCTTCCGCTGTTGCAGTCAAGGACCATGTGAGGGCCTAACACCCAAGATGTTAGAACTAATATTTATAAGCTGCTTTGCTGAGGTAGCTATGCATCATTCACTGATCGTTCACTGCCGTTCGATGGTAAATTGGTACTGGTGCACATAAGGAGATTGAATTAAACCCGTCATCAGCTTGTATGTAAACGATTTTCGAGAGAGGGACCTATTGACGGCTTATGGGGGAGTGATTGCTGTTGGCTATCAGTTGAGCTATTTCCGAGATTTTTTGCCTCCAGCAGAGAGTGAGTATACAACTAAACACTGCTGTTGGTCCATTTTTCTGCCAGAAGCAAACCTAGCACAGGACAGAATCTCTTTCCTCTCCCCTCCCCCACGGTTCGGTCGGTTTCTTTCCCTGCCTCAAAACGAATCGCTAGGGAAAACTGGTTTTTTTACGGGTAAATTTGGGCTTCAACAGAAAACAGTAGCGTATAAGTAGAAAAAAATAAGCCTAGAAGTAGAAAAAAAAAAGTAAGCCTAGAAGTAATACTATTACTGCTAGATTCAGGCCTCACAACCCTTTCCTTCCCAAATTCCTTTTGGTTATGAGGTTATTACTTGACTTTTTTTTCCCCGTTCTTGCCCCCTCTTTTTCCTATCCCTTTCACATACTTTAACCCCACAGTCTCAGTGTTGCCCTTACTTTCTTTTCCGCTTTTCGCCTTTTTTAAGCATTGCCATCGTCATACTGACAAGGTCCAGTCGCAGTGTTAAGTATATGACTTAATAGACCGAAACGTCTTATCTCACTTCTGCCTTCTTTACTACACTAATCATTGCACTTTCGTCATCTACGCTTCCAGGGTCAATCTGAATGCTACAGTTTGCTTCACAATTTCTGCTATTATTCAATCGCTTAATCACCAAAAAGCACGCTCGGAAAAGCACTCCCTGTACACAATTTTGTCTGCAAAAATTTCGAAAACTTACGGATTTTCTTCCCAATTCGCTGGCTCATTCCTAAATGAATGATGATGTTCTGCTGCTCTGTTCTGCCGCGGATCACGTGGATGTCCACTGCTACCCATGCGTAAATCAACCGTATTTCTAGCACTTATACAGTCCGCAGCTGTTGTTGATGCGGTGTTGATTTTTAGTTCTTCTCTCGGTGCTGTAGATGGCCCTGTACCGCTTGCCGATTTTCCATTATCGCGGCTGCTTTCACCTTCACGATGATGGTGGTGGTGGTGGCGATGATGTTTCCGGTGCGTCTGCAAATACTAGAAAACATGATTTTACTAAAATGCAGTCACAAAATACTAAAAAATATGATTTTCGCGATCTTTCAGTCTCATGATTTTTTGGTAGTAAGCTAACAGGTAAGTGAGTAATCTCCGTCAAAATAATTACGGAAAGGCTATCAGCCATGTGAACAGTACAAATCCGAGGCATGCGTAAAAGGCAGCTGGTCAAAGCATCAAAAAACAACATATTTCTTATTTTCGCACAAACGGAAAGGTTGGAAATACAAGGTATATCGCGCACCGTGGTCTAGGCGAGGCAGTGCCCCAGTTTTCAAATAAACGCCAAGAAGTACATGAATTTTCGATTTCCCCGAGTTTCTTGAACTGGTTTTGACTTTTGCTCCGATTCTGTCCGTTACAACTCAGCAAACAACAATGAAATCTCGAAACGGCTTTAGCACTGTCAAGTACTCTTCCCAGAGAAAGTCGCTGAGCTGGCAATCTTTTCAGGGGAGAAAACACGCATCAGGGGATCGCCAAAATACTAATCACTACACGGCGCAGTTCCGGGCAAAGCAACTGGAAAAGCTGTCAAGCGCACCATCAAAGAATCCAGTTGTGAATTGTGGTTGATCAAAAAATATTGAAAAATTTAAAAAAATAAATAGCAACGCGCACCAGACTAGCCGGTGTGATCATGCGTTTTTTGCAATTCAGCCCATCGAACGATTGCCTATTAATGATTTTCACTGCTTTGTACTTTTGTCTATGCAAAAATCTTCAACAATTGGAAAATAGTTAAAAATTTCACGCACCGGCGCACGAAAGCTGAATTCGAAACCTTGAAGGGTGATTCCGTGATTCCCTAGTTAATAGTTTAGTCGCCAAAATTCTCACGAGGCCGTAGGTGATAATCAACAGCGAGGGAACGCTGAATTTGAATGGGCAAGTTTGAGCGCGGGCAGAAGGTCATTACCCTAAAATTTCAGCCTCCCAGACTTCGCGGTTCTTTCAGCCGCCTAGCTTTTGTAGTTCCCGAGTTGAAAGTGCGAGACAAAATGTGGGACACACACACACACACACACAAACACACAGACAGACAATCTCGTGACAATATGCGCTTTGTACCGCTGTTACACAGCACAAAACGCATAAAAATTGTCATATGATCACAAGTGTTCTTTTAAATCAATAAGGGGCCTTTTTTGTTGCCATTTTCAACTGAGTGTTAATATTAAGCCCTACAACGACTGTAGCTAAGGCTCTTCGATTGCCCCCTCCCCC